CAGCTTCTAACCCAGAAACAGCCCCCCTCCCCGCCCTCTGGACCCCAGCTGGGTGTGGGCAGGGGGGGGGGAAAGCAGGACTCTGTGCCTCCGTCTGGCTGAGGGGCTTCTCTGAAACGGAAAGGCTGGCTCGGCTCAGAATGGGGCAACTGGCCACAGGACAACCGAACTATTCTATATAATGATTTAAAATAAATAAATGCTTTAATTATTGTAATTCACGTTTCATTCTGCCCCTCCTTTTGCGTCATTTCTTTAATGATTCTATTCCACTATTTCTTTGGTATTAGTGTAACTCTTGTCCCACAGAGAGTTGTGGCAAGTTGGCCGTGGCGAATTGTCACAGACCCAGCTGGAGTCACAGCTGTGAGACTCTAGTAAAGCCTGCTGCCTTCACCTCACCTAACTAGCTCCAGGGGGCTGCTGGGGGATGGATCGGGCAAGGAAGCAGTTTCTGAGTTTTCATGGCCCTGGAGAATCAGGCAGACTGTGCCAACCGTGCTCAGCCAGGAAAAAATCTAGCCAAGAGCGCACAAACATAGATGCAGCCTCTGGGTGATGGCCAGAAAAGTCCAGAGCGCTTCACAGCGTTGCTGCCAGTTTGGTCCAGATCGACCGAACCGGCAGTAGCAGCGGCGGGAGGCCCTGCCCCCCCCCCCCGCATGCACAGAAGTGTCGCGAGCATGTGGGAATGCACCTGAACCAATAGTAAAGAAATTGGCAAGCCACCTCTGGGGCAAAACTCTCTCCTGGCCAGGTTCTCTCCCCCAAGGGCCCCAGTCATCATAAAGTCCCGTCTCCCCCACCCTGCTCTGGCAGAGGCAACAGTTGAGCTTCTGGGGGGGGGGGCAGAGCATTTTATTGTGGGGAGGCGGCCCAGCAGAGCCTGTCATCCATCAGAGAGAGGTTCAAAGAGACCTTCCGGCAGGGCGGAGGAGGAGGAGGCTGAAGCCGCGGAGCCACTCCATCCTATTGGAGGCAGGGAGACGGCGGCAAGTCGTTTCAGCAGCCCAGCCTCGTCTCTGCAGCCCTCCAGCATCCCTGTCACGGTGGGACTTTGGGGCCCTGGTCCATGTTCCTCTGGCTGCTGGGGCTTGTCCGGCGGAGAACGTGTTCTGTTCGGAGGCCTCTCAGCTTCTCCAGCAGCTCTCTGGTGAAGTCCTGGGGAGGGGGGAGGAGGTTGAGTTCCACCATTCTTCTCCAGGAAGGTGGAGATGTCTGGCCCTGGGGGAACCCCACCAGGACAGGGATCTCCCTCCAATAGGGGCTCCCAGGGTCAAGAGCAACCAGATCCCCAGGAATCGCAAGGGGGCCTCCCCAGGGAGTCACGGGGTGGGAAGGTGGCCGGGGAGACCAAAGAGTGAAAGGGGGCCTTTCCTCAACTATTCCACAGCAGCTAGAAGTGCAGCAGCATCTCTTTGGGAAAGCAAACCCCACCCTTGGTGGACATACACCTTCCACAGGACCCCACAGGACCCCGACCCAAGCCAGCGATTGCTCAGAAAGTGGACACCCACCTCCGTGTTGTTGTGGCATGACTCCAAGGTGCCCTAGAAGAAAATTGACAGTGAGGAATGGCCCCAAAGGATGGGCTGCCCAGAATTTATTTCTCCGGCCCTTTTAATTTTCAGCCTCTTTTTCAGCTTTACTCTTCAACTAAACCAGAAAATTCTCTTCCCTGAGCCCAGATCTAATTCACAGCCTTCTCTTTCACACGGGACACCTGTATCCAGTTCCCCTTTCTTATCCCGTTCAGATCCTAATTTCTATTTATTAACCAAATGGCACAGCCTAGGCTAACTCCGGCGACTTCAGCTAGTCCAGAATGCACCGATCCTCCGTGAGCTGCGCTGGCTACCTGTTGATCTCCGGGTGCGCTTCAAGGTGCTACTCACCATTCA